GGCACTGTAACTCCTTGTAAATGATATCATCTGAGGCTTACCCCCAAACACTTGTGTATATTGTCTATGGGGCATTATGGCATATTTTCTAAATGTTTGGGAGTGTCTGGATATGGTAAGGTTTTGCTCAAATCTAGTACTTTTCAATAATGACTCCAATCATGACCTGTCACAGCAGCATAAACAGATCTTGTTGAATATTCTGATTATAATTCAAAGATACTTATAACACATTTAAGGAGCCTCCTTATGGCCTTCACAGGAATCATTGGACCCTGTCTGTTCTTGAAGTGACTTATATGAAGCTTTCTACTGCTAGGATCCATGGAACAGTGGATGGAAAGTAAACAGATGAAGTACTGCTGATGTAGTCTACTTCTTATTACAAGGTACTCATTTGTTCTTATTTGTTCTGTTTTTGAAAAATGAACAAAACATCAATTCACACAAAAAATGAAATCTTGTAAAATATAATAAAACTTAAAGTAAATAGGATACCAATTAAATACTTTTACCTGACATATGTAGGGTATAATTCTGTATTAACAAAGACCACCATCTCAAAGGCCATAGTAATACCCAACCTGCCTACACAGGCAACTGCTGTTTTAAGCCAGGAAACACCTTTGAAAGAAAGACATATGCAAAATTAGTAATTTAGCAGTACTGTAATACAATGTATTAGCACTTCTCATTAATATAAAGTTAAAATTCTTCTGCCATTAAATGACTCATTGTGCTGTTACTTTTTCAATAAAAAATAGCTTATTTTAAACATTCATTTTTAAATTTTATCTTATCTTATAATTTTAAGAGCAAATATTGTTTTAAATTCAAATGTAAACTAAAGTTGATTACAAATTTGGCAAATACAGTTCTACCAAACACTTACAGTATGTGCAATAGAACTTCCTGAAAATGCTTGTGAAATTTACTTGTATGATAAGCGGGCTCACACATTACAGTACAGAAACTCAAATATACATATGATGGAATGTTTATCTGTTAATGATAACAACTTCAGCCAGAATTTCTGAAGTTTAGAGCCTTGTCTAACTGTGTGTACTTTGGTTCAAGGGAGGACCTCAGAAAACCTATTTCTCATGTTTATGAAAAAAACATAACATGTTAAATGTCATTGAAAGCTAATGGGCCCCTTATGATATTAGATTTAAAGTTTTTATTTTTAATTTACTTACTTTCTGGTATAAAAGCAGTTATTAAACAAGATGCCCCAGAAATAATGTTAGACAGTGCAAATGGAACCCGCCGTCCCATACGTTCAATGCTAAAAATGATTAGCAGTGCAGCAGGGAATTCAACTATTCCTGAGATTAGGAAGTCTATGTAAACATTTCCCCCAAGGATTCCTAGACGCATGATGAGACCTTGGTAGACCACAGAACTTGTGAACCTGAAACATTAAAACAATAAACAGTTAGCTCTATTTTGAGGTGCACACAATACACAAGGGCTGCTTTTAACTTTTACAACTGTTTTTAAAGCTGATTGAAAAACTATGCAGTCCTAATTGGATGCATCTTTATATATCAAAATATATCACTTTCATGACCATACTGCATCTTTCTGAATATTATATGCATTTCCAAAAGAAACAATGTTTGAGAATGAAATATATGAGCCAAGCTGTCAATACGTTATCTGTTAACATTAACCAAAATTAATACACAACCATTAATAAAAGCATGACTATTTGAAAGCTTATATTTTTCTGACTATATAATTTTATTACAGTCTACTCAGAATTTCAAGTGCGAAAAAATGAACCTACTGCAGATACCTAGGCCACAGCCAGCAAAAAACAGCAATACTCTAATTGCGCCTCCAACATAAAAACATGGATGACTCAAAATTTCCTTAACCTAAACTGTGACAAGATTGAAGTCATGCTTATTGGCACCCACCATCAACTTTGTAAAGTCAAAGCTGTAACTATCTGTGGATGGCACTGTACTTAACTTCAGTCTAAATTGAAAAGCTTGGGGAATATTTGATTCAGGCTTGACATTCAACCCACAACATACAGTATTGTCGAAACATATTTCTTTCACCTCATAAATATCGCTAGACTACGTCCTATGTTACTGCTAACTGTGGCTGACAAGCTGATCAACACAGTCTTCTCCTGAATTGACTAATGTAACGCTCAATTCACTGGGGTTTCTAAGCTCAAATTGAACAAACTCCAGCATGTCCAAAATTAGGCAGTCAGAATCCTGACTAGGTCTAGTGCAAATGATCATATTACTCCTATCCTGGAGTCCTTCCTGTCAAGTTTCGTGTTGACTTCAAAACCCTCAAGCTCACTTCAAGGCTCTGAGTGGCTTGGGATCTCAATACCTGTCTGAGCAATTATCACCCTACTCCCCACCTCGCAACCTTTGCTCTTCTAATTCTGGTCTCCTATCTGTCCCCCAAGTCTGTCTACACTCTATGGGTAACAGGGCCTTCTCCTGTTATGCTCCAAAGCTCTGGAACTCTCTCTCCAACAATATCAGTCACCTTCTCTAAACTTCTTCAAATCTAGACTCAAAACCTTCTTCTTTAGAAAAGTCTTTTCTTAAGTGGTTCTGTTCTTTACCCCTCTTTTCCTACTGCATTCAGTACCTCCATATACTGTCTCCTCTCATTGTGTTTTCTCATTGTGCATGTATTTTTATTTTTGTTATTGTTGTTGTTCTGTACAGCTCTTTGAGAAGCCACCTTTAAAGATGCTATATAAAATAAAGTTAAAGTAAAGTTAATTATTTGTATTATATTTTCATCAAGGTGTAGCAGTACAGGTGCAAAACCAAACATTGTCTTTTCCTACTTATATGATATCTGCCAGCCTCTAATAAAGCTAAAGTGTCCATTGGAATACATCAGAGACTGTGGTCCATTGCTGTTTGGCACTGATTTACATGCCATTTTTAAGATGCATTAACAGACAATGACAGAAATTTGCTTTATTTGATAACTCATATTTTTGCATGAATGAATTAATGGTCATGAAAGAGAATACCAATAAAATAGAGATCAGTCTAATAATGTTTTTGTTGCAGAAAGTACCGGTAGGAGAAGATCAATTATTGTTTATTCTTCTTGCCTTAAATTGTGAGGTGCCATATATTGAGTGTTTTGATTGTAGGCAGTTGTTCTATGACCTATGGGTGTGCCATTAATTACTGGTCAATATTGTCCTGGTTTCCTGGCTTGATAATGCCAGATTACACACTGTAAAACATCCCTTAGAGAACTACTAACAAAGATTGATTGCCCCATTGGTTTGAATATGAAAATCCCACTGAACATTAAGAATGAAATTGTATATGCAGGTGGCCAGTACAAGCTACTGTACATCAAACACTGACTAATAGTATTAATCATTCCATTGTCCAATAGTGTACAGGTTGTAATGGAGGACACATCCATTATTCATCCAAAGTTTGATATTGTAACATTAAGAGCAGCTGCATTACATACTATGTGAACATCAATGTAGCTGTGCAGTTTATTGTCATACATTATTTACATTATCACCAGAATAAATCTTAAATTGAACAGATCATAACATGTTATTCACATAAAGTTTCCATGGTAATTAAAATAAACACCTACACCTGGTGATCTACACCTTGGACACCAGCACTCATTTCATTTGAAGGGCTGCATAAACCTAGTGGGGAGAACTGACAGAAGAATTTGGGAGACACAGATGGCAACCTTGGACCAGGAGAGGACTCAAAAGAGAACTACAGAGGAAGGTTCAGGCATCATCTTTCTTCTCCTATCTTGTAGGAGAAAGCCTTGCTGGTTGTGGAGAAAACATGTTATAGGGAGCATAATGGAAAATACTGTATTGTTTGGGACTGGCATGAGTGGAGAGAACACTTTTGAGGAACCAAAGCAATAAATGGAGTTTCATCTATTTCTTTTCCTCTAAGCCCCAGGCTGTTAGAGGAATTAAACTACATATGTGTAGGATAACTTTTTTGTCTAGTCTTTAAGTTTACTGGTAGTTCTGGAAGTTATAAAGAACCTGTTTTAGGAAAAATGGTCTTAGCACCCTTAAGATTGATACATGATATAGTTGGCTACAAGTTCAAATTTTGGGGTCACTCTGCCTATCCTTGACATCACCCAGGAATTTTTTGTTTTTAATTTGTCTGACATTACTTTTATTGACAGCATACATCTTAACCAATAGGCTAAACTTTTTTAAGTTGTAAAATCCATTCAAGCATGACACCCAATTCTGAATAAAGCAGATTTTATTTACTCTTAAATGACTAGACCAACAAAGTAGAAATAAATGGTAGAAATACATCCAAAGGACATTGTGTGAAACCATGAAATGAGAATTACATTCCTGCTCTACCACTGTTTTCCATCTAAAAAAAACAACAACTCACTTTTCCAGGTATAGGTTCTGATGAAATTTGCTTATAATATATAATTAATGATAATGATCACCATAATTAATCACTTACACTGCAAGCTCGTACCTTTGTTAGTAACAACTAAGTATCTAAGTACCTGCATCTGCATCCTATGAACTTACTACGAGAAAAAAAGTATAACATGACTCACCAGTTAAACATTAGAATGAAGGTGTGCTTCCTCATTTTAGGAGTCCTAACCAAGTCAAATACAGAGGCTGTCAAAACTTCTTCATTATCATCAGTGAGATTCTGTGAAAAAGACATGTTTATCTAAGCACCTACTAAATCCTAGCATATCTTGTTTATTAAGTACTAAATTCAAAAACAGAGTGATTAATCTCCAGGACACATGACATTATAATCTTACAAGAAATACAAAAACATATTGCTAAATGGTGTCTTCTTTATTATGAAGGGGTATGGTGAAGACATCACAATGGAGTTTTTTTCTGTATGATCAAGAAAAAAAATATTCCTAAATTCATATTTTGTCAGGTACCTCCACATTTTTTGAGAGTGTTCTCTTGTTTTCTTTAGCAATTTCTTGTGTGATTGCCATTGCCTTTCTTGTGTTTTTCTGTGAAAGAAGCCACCTTGGTGACTCAGGTATGAACCTATAGGAAGAATTTCAATAGTCAAAACATAATAAAATGTTGCAGTGTTCTCAATTTCTTTGTTTCAGGGAAATAATTTTTACATGTTTATATATTTCTCAGTCATTGGAAATTACTATCAATGGAAATATAATGTGGTGCATAAGGTATAAGGTGGTGTACTGTATACTTTCTAGCAGGTAAACTGTCACCTTTTGATAGAAAATTCAAATATAATTGCTGTCTTGCTTAAAGAGGCCATTAGGTTTCTGTTCAAAATGGTGCTGTGCAGTATTTATATAAATACTGTATATTATATTATTATATATTATAATAGAAAACAAAATGGATACAATTGAAAATGTTTCTTCTTTAATCAGGCATATGAATTAGATATGAAAAACAACACATTTGCTCCACAGTACAGTATCTTGTGTACGAAAATGATGCAACTGGATAATCAGCTAAGTGTTTTTCAAAAATAGCCCGTGGAACTTTGAAGATAACCCTTTCAATATTTACAGTTTATTTTTCTGATATCAGCAAACCACACCCTGCACTTTTGTACATTAAATGTAATCTTTCTCCTACACAACATGTTTGTCTAGTTTTCTGGAATTTCTTTCGCAGCCTCTACAATGTTCACTAATCTTCCTACAGTAGGTCATTTTGTGATCTAGTCTAGTTTGTTAACTATACTATATCATTGTTATAAACAGAAAGAGTGGTGATCCTAATACAGTTAATTGTGGTTCTCCATGTATTATATCACCCCTTATGTGTAACCTTTGTTCCCCATCCATTAGTCAAGCTTGGCATCTGCTTTATGTGCCTTTTTATGTTTCTTTCTATAGCTAATCTTTAGTAATGAACAAGGCTTGCAGTATCAGAATAATTAAGCTGGAGTCCTGGTGCCAATGTTGACTTACTGTACCCTGGTCTTTACTTTTAAGTTATTTCAAAACAAATTATCTCAAACGAACTGTTAGGATATTTAAAAATCTACAGTATTTTTAAAGGACGTCATACCAGTAATAGGCTAAAAAGCAAATGTATGGTGCAGTGATAGCCACTTGTAGCCATCTCCAGTCAGTGATAAGGTACGCAATGAGTGGCAGCATGAGAATTCCAACACTGAAGAACATCTGGTAAAGTACTCCCACGATCCTTCTGTGCTCCACTCCCACTAGTTCTGTAACTAAAGGGTAAAAAAGAAGAGCTTCAGTCAGTTTCTCCTTAAAAATAGCACATTTTAGTTCAAGTAATTTTCTCTGAACTGTGAACAAAATGATTACAGAAACAACCATTAAAACTTAAATCATGTTTCGTCCACAATCTGCGTTTTTACTTATTGCTCATTTTACAAATGCACATGTTATTTGACTATTCACTATTGGGTAGAAGACGTATGCTTAAAGCCAAATAATCTGGCTTCAGTTCCAATGTCTGCCAAAAGAAAGATATAAATGTTGGCAGAGCTTTTAAAATGTATCATTCCAGTTTTTCAGACATTCCTAGAACTCATTATCTCACATATACCACATATCACCGCTGCTATTACAGCTGCACAACTGTGACACCTTGACAATTATTTAATAATTTGGAGGCCAGGTTTTACTAGTATTGTCTCCAGGATCAGCATTTGTCAGCCCAATGTTTTCCCACTTCACACACAATGTCATAGACAGGTTCAAATGCAATGGGAAGCTGTCCATCATGTAAGAGTCACTGGAAGTGCTGTTTTAGATGATAATCACTTCTGCTTGGACAGGAGCAATGGTTGTGTTAGTGAATGGAGACAACAAAAGAATGATTATTAATAGCTTGAGCAAGGAGTTTTCCAAGTCGTTCAAACCATGAAAGTCCTAGCCTGGGCATAGATAGAGCTAGTCTGGTCACTAGCTAACAGTGATCAGACTATCTGAATCTGACTGGGATCCCCTGGAACAATTATTTGATACTGCTGTGGTCAAGTTTGACATTATTTTGCTAGGGAATAATTTGCAACACAGCAAATACTTACTTCAGCCTTTTGGAAGCTTTCAGGCATGCAGTGCTGTTGTGGAGAGATGTGCCTGCCTCCATTCAACACTTAACCTCTTGTTTAAGACCACATGGCTTGTTATGTGTCAAAAGATGTAGTTTGATAGTTAAAGTTTGGTGAGTTAGAGGAGTATGCCATCACTATCTCATTCTAATAATAATAATAATAATTGCTTACACTTATATAGCGCTTTTCTGGACACTCCACTCAAAGCACTTTACAGGTAATGGGGACTCCCCTCCACCACCAACAGTGTGTAGCATCCACCTGGATGATGCGACGGCAGCCATAGTGCGCCAGAACACTCACCACACATCAGCTATCAGTGGGGAGGAGAGCAGAGTGATGTAGCCAATTCATAGAGGAGGATTATTAGGAGGCCATGATTGGTAAGGGCCAATTGGAAATTTGGCCAGGACACCGGGGTTACACCCCTACTCTTTTCGAGAAGCACCCTGGGATTTTTAATGACCACAGAGAGTCAGGACCTCGGTTTTACGTCTCATCCGAAGGACGGCGCCTGTTTACAGTATAGTGTCCCCATCACTATACTGGGGCATTAGGACCCACACAGACCGCAGGGTGAGCGCCCCCTGCTGGCCCCACTAACACCTCTTCCAGCAGCAACCTTAGTTGCACATTCTACCCTGTGTGAAGAAGCAGGATTCATACAAGTACCTACTGTAAAAGCCAAAATGTGGAAAAACAATGTGTGCTCATATAAGAAGAATACAGAATTTCCCGAATACCATTTAATCCGCACCCAGAAATTTGGACTGTGAAAATCCGACAAAGAACTTTACAAAGTACAAGTTTGTCTAAATAGAAATGGTTGGCATGCGAAAACATTCTCATGATTTTGAATAAATAAATGAAAAAGGAGAGGAATTTAAAAGACAAAATGCAAACAATGTCAGGATAAACACCATGCTTTCTCCTTCTAAAATTCTTGCTTCCCTTTTCAAGCGAGAGCTCTTGCTTCATCCCTCTCCATCTTCTTATGAACCAGCTGTTCACTCCAAACTGCCTTCAATCCTGACAATTCCCATGCTGTTCAGCACACAGGATCACCTTCTTGAAATCAAAAGTGTACTGTAATCTATTCTTCAGTTTGGATAAATAAAAATGAATCTAAAAGTTTTTTATCACTCGCAACAAAAAGCTAGGGCCAAGATAATGATTACAGTATGTACAAATAGTTCAAAGATGTTCAGCACTTTAGTGGTAAATATGTCAACAACCAGATCAATTTTTATTTTTTTTTTACTTTTAGAATATAAGCCGCAGGCCAATTATACCACCCTCAAATTTTAAAAAAGTGCAGCTTATATTCGGGTGAATACGGTAAACTTGTAATGTTGAAAGAGACATGATGTGGACAACCTTCCATTATATAAAAAGAACACATGGCAGTAATACTATAACAAAGCACCACCGATGCAGACACTCAGATTGTGTGTCAAAACTCATAGCCACAATATACTGTGCAAAGTATCTTCACTGGCCAAAGAAAATCAATAGGTGGCACTTGGGTATGGTAGTTAGTGAAAACATTAGCTTCCTTTCCTTTAAAGAACACACAAAATTGCTGTAGCTAGCAGCTGTAGCTAGCTGGAGAGTCCAGAGCACGATCCAGGCAGAATACAGTCCAGATCTGCAGTTGTAGCAAGCAGGGTCCAAAACCAGATGAAACAGAGCAAAGGCACAAAAGGGGAAATCCAAAAGGCACGGATAAGATAAGGAGGCAAGGTCTGTAGCCCAGGAAACGCAGTTCACAAGTACCTGTACAAATTGGAAATCCAGGGGGCAAGGTCAAAACAAGGTTGTGAATCCAAGCAAAACACAACACAGGGAATGAACAAAAATGATGCTCGAAGGGCTCAGAGTCCAAACTCACTAACAGAGCCCCAGCCTCTGCAAAGTCCCAGTTTTTATTCTAAGGAGCACCTGGAATGGGTGAGGTCGTAAACTGACTCCAGGTGCTCCAAGTCTCCAGGTATGTTCTGCAGCAGCTGGCGAAGGAAGTTAGTGACCCCACCGACTGTTGCACCATAGCTAGCTCACCACACAGAGCAACAACTTGGGTGAGAATGACACATTTCCCCTCAGTTTCCTTTGGAATTGATTTGATTCAATTGTATTGATCTTGTCAAAGCAACTGACAAACTTGAATATTTGAATGAGGTCTGTTCAAGAGTAAAATTATTTAGAATTTTAATCTATCAGAGTAAAACATTCCTTTAAGCCCAGGAATGCATCTGATTATTCTTTTCAGCAACAATAAACTTGTATCATGGCAACCAAAATTGTTCACAATAGGCTGAATAAGATTTGTGTTTGTAAAAATAATAGACATTGCAGTTCTTCAAATTAGTTTAATTTCTTTGGGATTAAGCAGTCAGTTTTGTGTACTCTAGAGGTCTTATCTATACATCTTATAAGGAAACAGTTCTTCTAATTTTTCCTTGTGATGGTAACATAAACTCTTACATCTGTACTATAAGTTTCAAATGTGCAAGACTGACTGGAATAAGTTTATTTTAAGTCTTTATCATAAGAAAATATATACACTAAAAACTTTTGCACAACCGTTTCGATTTTATTTTCTAATTACATATATTCGATAATTAAACTACATGTATTTATTCAAATTTATTTTAAATTAAAAATGTGTTTTCTTTCCAAAACATGCCCTCTTGCTAGATTTTTATGCGTAAAATAAGGGAGATAATAAGTAATATTATTAAAAATGACCACATAAATGTAGAAAAAGTACAAAATACAAGTTGTATTCTTAGAATAAAAGTAAAAAATACAAGCAGTATTCTTACTGAGAACGTAGCCAACTACCCAGCCTCCCTTGATGCCAAATCCATAGATTGCTCGGAATACAAGAAGGGCAATGTAATTTGGAGACACCGCCACAAGAATTCCAGTAATTGCATTTAAAAGATTAGACATAAAAAAACTAATCTTTCGTCCAAACCTGCAAAAAAAAAAAGTGTTATTTTAATATTTAAAATTTCTTGGAGCTTTATACTTCAAATGCTTTCTGTTAATTATGTTTATGTGAATATCATGTAGTACCTGATATTGCCTGGATGTCTGGCAAATTGCACATTAATATTACAATTTAAAACAATTTTCCCCACAAAGGAAGTGTGTGCATTCAAATGCATGAGTATGAGTATGCACAAGTATGAACAGAACAACCGTGGGGTAAACATTTTGAATCCTGGTCAACTAATAACTGCTGAAAATTCAAAAAAAGGCTTATTTGAAACTGCTCTGTGAAAGTGCTGTGAGGCAACATTGCTATCTTCTGCACCGCCACGCCTTTCCATAATTGAAGCATATTGCTGTTCAGTTTTGTAAATGGGTATATTGTGTGACAGCGGGTAGAGTGTTTTGTATATAGCATTGCTGCCTCATAACTGTAGGGACTTTCAGGCTCAGTAGCTCTGTCTGTCCATGTGGGTTGATGTGTTCTCACCTTGTCTAAATGGGTTTCTTGCTCCATGCCAATTAGAGTAATTGGCTACACTTTTTGGACAGAATGATCATGTGTTGCACATTTAAAATTAAAGTAAATAAATCCACATGTAAATTTAGACAGCCTCAAGAGTTTCACAAACAGTGGTACATGTAGAAAAACATAATCTCCTGTTGGATAAATTGTCTCTTATCTTCTTGTGCCTAAGAACAGCTAATGGATCTGATGTCTGCAGTTGTAATTTCTGTTGGAGACAGATTACGTTGTTTTTTTCACACTGTTAGACAAGAGAATCTCAAGGCATTTGAACTTTGTGTGCTTATTAACATAGATCCCAACAAATAAAGTATGCAAATTTTACCTGTCTGCCAGGTAGCCTATGGCAATACTGCCCACTAGGAACCCCGCATTTACAGTTGACTGAAAGAGATCCACCATCCAGGCATCTGAACAGAGCAGATTAAACTAAAACCAGAAAAAATAGGTGGTCATAGAGAAAGAGTAGTAATTTATAAAGTACTATTGTTATTTTTCCTTTCCTCGAAATAACAATTACACTTAGTATTTTTGCATTGTAAAAAGCCTTTACAGTATATTGGTACAGCAACTGCAACCAGTGTTTGTTTAATTAATAATGAAATGTACCTTATCTCCAGAGTCCTACTGGTGATATGAAAACATTTAATTCAGTGTGAACTCAGTTCTGATTCAACTGCCTTTATTTAATAAATTATTAAGAGAACTGAAAATGTATTTTTTAAATAAAGTTTGTATTTTAAAAAGCAGTTATAGAGCAGTATAGAGCATCATGATTATTGTATTATTAGTGTTCTGGTTTTCTTCCATCTCCCAAAAACACAGTATAGGCTAATGTTTCTCTCTTAACTGTCCCTGTATTTGTGTGCCTTACAAATGAACTGGTACTGTGTCTCATCCAGGTTGTAGCTCTGCCTTGAGCCCCTTCCTTAGACTATTATGTGGCCATGACCTTATCAAGAATGAGTTACTTTCTGATTATATATATGATGCTTTTCTTCCCTTTTTTGCTCATTATTGTTGGCATATGTATTCAGTCTTACTAGTTGTTTTCCACAAATGTCAATACGATTCAACTTAAATCTTTGAATGGGCCACTGAAAACATTCTCTTTCTTTATTCACATTTTAGTGTGGTATGTGTTGCTCCAGTGTGTGTGATCCGAAACATATGTTTTGGATCATTGTCTCCATATAAGACCATGTTTTTCGTATGTGTGGGTCAGCTGTTTATGTAAAAAGTATTAATTGGTACCCCAAGGAATCATGACGGCGAGCTGAAAAGCAATAAAATATGACAATTGACCAATGTATGTTGCAATGTATTGAAGTAACAAAGACACAAAAAGAAAACAAATTCTGTTTTTCATTGAAATACAGAAAAAGATTCCCATTGCTAGCTAGCTCAGAGCTAGGAAATAAACCTACTGTAGTTACTCTTATCTGTACTGATTTCAGATCTGCAGTATTTTTTGTATCATGGTGATCTGATGATCCTCTAGTTTAGCTTTAATTATTGTTTTCATAATCTTACATGTAATAGATGCAAGACAATTAGTTGGTTCAGGTTTGCCACTCTTTTTATGACTGGGTGCTACATTAGCAAAGTTCCTGTCAGTGGATATTATCTCTGTCTTGAGTGAATGTTGAAAGAGTTTTGCTGTCAGCCCATAAACAACATTTTAATTATGATTGTCAGAATACTGCAAAGTCCTGGGTATTTATCGTAAGTGCTTCTAATAACACTGTAACACTTCTTCTTTGGTAGTATAATTTAATTCAGAACTAGAGGGCTTTATGAAACATTACATCTAAACTTGTATAGTGGTTTAGAAAAATCTCCATCTTTTCTTCTCTGCCACCTTTATAGATCTGAACAATAGCATGCACAAGTAAAATTAATTTTAGAAATGTATTTAAAAAAAATATTTTCTATAATGTGGTGACCAAAATTGTACAAAATATTCTAATAGAGGCCTCATTAGAGTGTTATACAATTTTAGCAAAAAATCCCTTGATTTAAAATCCATGTTTTTAACTATACAGTATGTGTATTCAAGCTTTTTCTAGTACATTGTCTAAAAGTTATAAATGATTAGTCAAAATAAGCACCTTTTTTATGTGTTTTTCTCACTGTGTAGTTTGTTTTCCTGCATGTAAAACTAGCACACATCTACATGAAACACTATCTCAAAATGGTTTTTATCTGGGACAATACTATATCATGTCTACTAGTGATTCTATATCCATACCCCATCATCAACACTAATTAGTGTATTTATTATGTACTTGTTAAGCTGTATGAATCAACAAAATATCATTTCAACTCCACATCTGTCTTGGTCTGCAAATTCTAAATCTTGAAATGTTGAGTACACAGTGTTAGTTTTTTTAACTGGAATTTTTAATAGCCAGATTTGATCAAACTTGTATGCTTCACTATTTGGTATGAACTGCACATTTAAGCAACATAATGAACTCCTTACCTCAGTAACAAATGATGATCTGCCTTCATAGTCAAACTCCCAGCCATCTTTGCAAGTTGTCAGTAGTACATTACTCTCAGATGTGAAATTCAGCTTGGGGTTTTCACAGTTCAGATCAGTTATGTTCCATTCTATGTCGTACCTTTCACATTGCTTGTAGATCAGGCCAGCTGACATATTATCTTGAGGAATGGTGTACATCCTGATGTCTTGCAGAGTCCATCCACATTTCTCCCTCACTTCTTGAACACTCGGGTTACGACACCAGTGCTCTGGAGTGAATCCCTGGAACACAATTCCCGCATAGGCCCCAGCCCATGGTATGGAGACCAGGCATAACAAAGCAAAGATGCGCTTCTGAGACCTACCGAAGTTCCCAGCCTCCTCCAGGATGTCTTCAAAAGTTGTCATTTCTGCTAACACTTGGTGCCTTCTTCTGTGATGACTCTGGAGCTTGCCATTCATTTTTACCAACATAGATGAGATCAAAGTTCCAACGAAAAGGTTGACCTTAGTTCCTTTAACTTTTTTATAAGTAAACCACTTGTAGAAATAGACATTTTTGTTTTAACATTACATGCATCTGAAGTCACTTAATTATAGACTTAAATGAGCCTGGCATAAATTTGAAAAAACATGATTATTTTCACACTTCAGAAACTCCACAGTTAGTTTAATAAAAGTGAAGTTTTGAGGTTTCTCAGCGGCAAGATAACTAGACATAATAATTTCAAGCTTTAAGTGGCCTTTTGTACAAATTTCACAGATGAGCAAAGTAAAGCAATATGTTCCATTTTATTTTAAATTTACAAGTCTGCATTTCTTGAAAGAAGCTGGTGTATCAGCGTTGCTGCTGAATTTAGATTTTTCAAGAAATGACTATTTGAGATCCTCAGATCAATTGCCTGCTAGGAATGTAACATGCTAGATGATGGTCCAAGAGTCCTTTATCATTAGCAAGTTTATCATTAGCATTATCTGATGATAGTTTATACACAGGCGCCTGCAGGTCAAAAAGACTAAATGTTCTAGCTTCTTCTAGCAATAAAGCAGCAAAGGAAGCAATACAGATAGAATAGGAATTAAAGATGGACTACGGGGTGGCGTTCTGTAATAAATGCTGCAGACATATTATAATGTTTCCATAGAAACATCAGAAATATGCAATACATCAAGAAAAGTTTAGAAAATGAGAGCATTAGCAGATTTAAATGAATTTAACTGCCATATGAGACTGGTTCTATGAGGGGTTTGGACAATTTTAGAGAAGATAGCAAATGCATTTTTGTTATTGGTATTATCAGGAATATTCATTGTCAGGATATTAACAGAAACTACTTCAGACTTCTTAGACTTAATCTGTACTATACAGAAGGTGTAGGAAAACAAACCAGTGTATGAAAGCTCTGGGAGAATGTGCTGCTCAAAAGTTGCTCAAAGACAATTGATCATGTAACTGTTGAAAAAGCAGGTAGCAGTCACTTCCTTTGTCAGTCAGTGGATGTCAGTCATCTGAAGTGGGCAGAACCTCTCTGTGCACCATTCACAGGAGGGAGAAAGACTCAATGTAGATCAAAAAAATCTCTGTAAACTAAACTGTGAGTTTTGAACAATTGGAAGTTTTTGAGAAGAGTCTCAGGGGATACATCAGAATTGTTTAATGAGACCAGCAAGCAGTTCAACTGCTCAGCTGTGATTGAAATGGACTTCAAGAAGAATTCAGTAGCTCAAAAAATAACTTAGGCTGTTATTTTATGTTTTTTTATTCCCTGAACTGTAAATAAAGAGTACTGGTGTTTTTTAACTTTACAGCTATGTGGCTGATGGCCTGAACTTGACAATTTAAGATCTCGTTATGCCACAACCAAGGGGTTTGTCATGTTACAGATGTAAGAAAGAGTGTATTCAGCCCTTCTATCACATTTGGTAGTTAGGAGGTAATTAATTCAAGGATGTCACACAGCTATTTCTTGAAAAAAAGACAACATTTCTGCTTCAACAACATGACTCGGTATCTTGTTCCATACTCCCACAACTCTGAAAAAAGACATACCCCCTGTATTAAGTTTTAAATGCACTCGCACATAGTTTCCACTTGTCCTTTTGTTCTTGCATCCCTGTTGATTATTATGATATGTTTAGTGATTCACGGACACCCCAACTAGACAATGTTTATAATTTGTAAACAAGATACAAATCAAGAAAAAAGCCAAAATGTTTCATAGCTAGAATGCATTAATAAATTAAAGGGGGGCTAACATTTGTCTTATTTACATATATTATGAAGTGTTTTGTAAAATATCCATACTGTCACGATCGTTACTCCTCCTCTTAAGGGCGCTCCAGCCCTTCCTCGTTCTGTCCCATTCCCCACACCTGTTCCTTATTCCAGCCCCTCTTTAGTTCCACCTTTAAAGCCAGACGCAGGCGATTGCTCGGGGCTTCTCATTGATTTCCGTGTCGTGAGAGCCCGGGGTCTTGCCGCGTTTGGCTCCGTTATGGTTTTAGTTTCCTGTTCCTGATTCCCTGCCCCGCCGGTCCCGACCCGGTTCTGGTTTTAACTACGGATGGATCCCGTGGTCTTGGACTAAACCTCCCGTCTTGGATTCCCCCTCTGGATTTACCCTTGGATTGTTCGCCCTGGATTCACTCCCCCCGGACACTAGCACTGCATGGACACGCCCCCCTGTCTCCTGACCGACTCCTGCATGATATTTTTCCCTATTGTTTCTTCACCTTTTGGATCGTGTCGCCCGCATAGGGCCCGGAAAGAACAGTTCGTGACACATACAGTGACCATTCTTCTACTTAATTCATTTTGATTAATATGAGAAAGATCTTTATCTGATGTCTGTTTCTTGTTTGAATTCCTCGTGGAAGTCGTTGACTGTAAGAAAGAAACCTACACCAACAAAACACAAAATCAAGTTTCTATCTTGAGAAAGTGAATATGTAATCCACAATAATTCCCATAGATTTATAATGTTATAAATTTATCCTTCTTTACACCTATTATGAGCTGGATAAAGCAGTTAGAAAATGGACGTGTGGTTTTAAAACACGAATGTTGATGTAAAGTACCTATTGAACTAAATAGGTGCATGCTATAAACTAGCTGAAGGTCATTCAATCATTCATTTGCACATTTATCCACTGACCAGAGTTGAACAAAGCTTTATGCAAACATGACATTTCACAAGTTTCTAGGAATCTGATAAGTGTGCTCTGAGCTACCTTCCCATTTAATGTTTCATTAAAGTAAATATTTGCTGTGATCCTGTGACCAGTTTAACAGAGGGGACAGAATTCTTGGACAAAAACGAAATTATGCAATTCAGTTGAGCGTCAGCATTTGAAGATTAAGCCAAAAAGCCAAAAAAGTCTTTATTTTGAGAAATGGCTGGGCTAGCTACTAGGAGCTAAACAAGCTAAATCAGCCTGGGTGCTCCTCTTTTGTTTTTTATGTTCTTTTGCAATTACAGTAGTAGTTATATATTCATCTGAACAAAACAAGAAACAGGGATTTGGTTATTTACAGTACCAGTCGAAAGGTGGAGTACACCTCCTTGGAACCAGGTTTTTCATGATTATCTGTGCTTTAAGCTGTAAATTATAGTCTTGAAGACTATAATTACTTCAAGAAATGAAGGTCAATCATTAAGACAAATTGCAAGAACTTTGCAAGTGTCAGTAACTGCTGTGGCCAAGACTATCAAACGATAGCATTATTATATAGAAAATAGTAAATAGCAAAAGAAATACAAGGTTAGATGCAAACTGGTTCTGTACATGGCGAAATTCTTAGCTGCTGTGCCAGCCTTCATTCTGACTTCTGTTACAGAATTTAAAGGCTTTTTTTGTTGCAAGTTTAGATTAATTGTCAGTAACTTCTGTGAGATTTGTACTTACATTTTCAAACAGTAGCAGCTCTAAATACATAATGTACTTTTGCTACTTATCTTTGAAGTTTCTACACTTAATGGTAATATGATGCAGGTAAAGTAACTATGGATTGCTGTTATTGATTTGGCTATATGCTGTATGCTGTGAACTGCTGGCGTGCATAAATATTATTTTCTTTAAGGATTTTGTCTCTTAAAAGAAAAAGTAGGTCCATAACGTGATAGATGGTTACATGATATCAGGTATGATGTCAACAATATTGAGAAGAGCCTTGTACCTTGATCAACATCTGTTGATACCCTACTTCTTCAGGTCTCATTGAACTGTTTCTCTTTTAATTTTGAGGTGGACTGATTTGCCTGGTTTGATTGATCTAGAGGTCCAATTGAATTTGCAGAGATTTATATACCTTGCAAATAATCACCTGCCTCTACAAATATTTTACTTGGCTATTCAGAACTTGGTGGTTTCCTACATGCATCGTTCAGTTGTATGACTCAATAGCATTCATTACTTTATTTCTGTAAATGTTTCTGATATTTTTGAATGTTTTAATTCGAATATTTTTGCCCTCTTTATGTTCATTTTCAGATTATATTCTGAGCTCTGTACTTTCTATTACACAGTGAATGTTTATGCTGCCTCACTAATAGAGGAGTCCTTTGTGTTCCTTTATCAATTTTTTATTTCATTGTTTTTCAGGCAATATAACAATGAGGTAAATTTAGATAAGGTGCGGCAGAAAAGGGAGTTCAAAATATTTCCTTGGTAATTCCAAAGAGGTTGATGTGTTTTGCACTCCATATGCCAAACCCAGATGTTTTATCTTTATTTGAATACCTAGGTGTATGTGATTCCCACCATATGAGACCTGCTATTGTTAATCTATTTGATTGATAGTTTTATTCAAAGTGACTTACTGTATATTTCTATCCATTTACACAGCTACATAAAGCAGCAGTGCAATTATAATTATGGGTTGGGAACCTTAACCACTACTTGTTTAGAGGAGTAGTCTAAATTAAGAGATAAACTTAATTTACAGAGGACCTAACTTTGGAAGTATTTTTCTATGGGTAATTGTTTTGTACATGCCAGATCATAGCTTACCTCAATTGGCTTTTTGAAAACATAATAAAACCTATAATGTAAAACAAAGCAGCAGATATCCAAAGTCTACAAACCCTATAATTTTCACAATTTATTTATTTATTTTTATTTATTTTGTTGTCTTTTGTTTTATAACTATTCTGATATCTGTGCTTTGCTTGTCTTGGGCTGGACTGCTGTAACATATCAATTTCCCTACGGCAGTGGTTCTCAAACTTTTTGGACCAAAACCAAAACCAAAGCATCCAAGTACCACCTACAAGTCATCATCTCATAGGAACCCCAGAAATTATCAATGACCAACATGAACGCATGTGCACACACACTCACACATACATATAATTAAAATGTGGCTTCTCAAAGTGTTTTACAGAAAAAAAACAACATAAAAATAAAAAAGCACCATTTCAGTGAGAGAGGTGAGCCTGTTTAGTCGAACAAAGCAGATGTGAATTAATTTTTCGAGCCTTGATACAATTCACAACAGTCTAACAGATTTTAAATCGTCAGGCATTTTCTTGACGGCAAAGGTCTCGCGGTGGATGTTGCAACGAAACCATTAATTTTTGGAGCAACCTCTCTAATTCATGCAACTACACCGCTGTGTCGGCTTGTCATTGCTCTAGCACCATCTGTACAAACTCCGACACATTTTATCCAGTCGATGCCATTCTCTTCGATAAATTCATTCAGAAGATGAAATACGTGCTCTCCTGTAGTTCCTGTTGGTAGCGTCTTACAGAACAGAAAGTCCT